GGGAATAACCTTAACAGTGTTACAAAGGAAAGGGATCTTGGTGTAATAGTCGATCAGTCTCTTAAGCCACCCAAGTAGTGTGCTGTTACTAGAGGTAAGGCAAATAGGATTTTAGGTTGTATCTACAAAAATATTGAATACAAGTCTAAAGAGGTTATGATTACATCGTATAGGTCACTGATTAGGCCACATTTGGAGTGTTGTGTTCATTCTTGGGTTCAGAGGAAGGTTACTAGAATGGTGCCTGGGATGGAGGAGTTAATTGTATGAGGAGAGATTAAGATCTCTAAAATTGTTTTCTCTTGAAAAAAGAGTTAGAGGAGATCTGATTGAAGTATTTAAGATTGTAAAGGGAATTGATAACATTGATGCATCATCTTTCTTCATACTTAATGCAGAGAATAGTAGGACGAGGGGACACAAATATAAATTTTGGCAAGGTACGAGTCACCTTCAGCTAACACAGTTTTATTTTTCTAACAGGGTGGTTGGCCTCTGGAATGGGTTGCTTTCAGATGTTGTGGAGGCAGTAAATTTAAGTAAGTTTAAGAGAAAGTTTGATAAATATATGAATGATACAGCTGGCTTTAAGATTTCTATTTTTTTTATGGTTTTAGTTTAGTTTAGAGGATGGGACAGCTGAGATGAACCTGTGGGTCCCTTGTTGTCCCTAAACTTTATGTTAAGTTTAGCAGTGTAATATTTTGTTCATGCAAAAATAATGATAAATAACTTGTCAGTAAATACAAGACACAGCCTATAACAAGTATACATTAAGATAGTCTCCAAACTGGATTCCCTGTTATCTCATGACCTGAAGTTGAAAAAGTTTATATAAAACAGACTACAGAATGTTCAGCTTGCCACTTTACCACACACAGTAATGTTGGTCTAAACACAAGCAAGGCATGTATGCATGTATATTTTTTTCACCATCAGTAGTGTACATATTCTTTACAAACTACTGAACTGTAGATGATACTCAAAATTAATCTAAAAGAATTTGCTTTTTTGGTAGTTTCCATTGTTAATATGGTTATATTTGCCTTTGAAAATTTGTTTACAAACTATACCAGTATTAATTCCAATTTGTGTAGATAAGTATGTTTTGTTTTCCTCCTATGCCAGTAGCAAGTATAACACTTTACAGAATAAGTAAAATTAATTGCTGTATGATAGATTAGAGTTATGGTATTTAGAATAGTGTGTTTTATGCTATGTTTATACAAATTAATTGTGAAAGGTAAATGAAAACTATTGTGGTGCATTTCACAGGGAGTTGGATATAATTTCTAACATGATTAACCTTTTCTGGTAACTTGGTAGGCGATGTCTTTTAGGTATAAGTTATAGTGGATCTTATTTTCTGTATTTGAACTATTGTATGAGTAGAGTAGAGCTGGGGGAGAAAAAAAAAAGAAATGCTAGTTAAAACAATAATGTTTAAGACGATTGAACTGAATTATTATTTGCAAAATATCATTTTTGTCAGTCTAAACAGGCATTGCCAAGGAGAGGTGAATACAATGTTTATAGTACCTTCCAAAGCCATGAAGCTGAATTTGATTATCTGAAAAGTCTAGAGATTGAGGAAAAGATTAACAAGATAAGGTGGCTTAAACGTAAAAATCCTGCTCATTTTCTGCTTTCAACAAATGGTGAGTTTCTCACATTTAATATAGTGGTGAAGCTCTAGTAAAAGTATGGATAATGCATAGTTCAGTTATTTTTGTAGTAATTCTTTTTATAATACCTGCTTTCATGATGTGACTAGACATGGAAAAGTTTAACCCTGTTGGCTCCAGTACCTGCACTAGTTATCTAAAACGTTTTCTTGAAGTACTACACTAACAATTTAAAATATATATATATATAATAAATTTCAACTTTTACACTAATAATATTCAAACATTTTATACATGTATGAATAAGTTCTTGAAAGAAATGTTAAATGTCTGGTAATTGAGCTTTTTTTATGTATATGAATTGTAAATTTTACGTGTAACGATTTTTTTATAAACTTGTTTATGGTCTCTAAGGTTTGACTTAGTAATAATACTAGAAAAGAACTTTGTATTTCAAAGTGTATGGTGCATATTTAAGCATTGTAGAGACTGGGATATTATTTTTTCAATTCCATACTTAGAGTACAGTGTATATTTTTTTCATGAAATGGGCTATATATCTAGTTTTGTCATAAGCTATCCATGTTACCACATTTCAGATATTTTGAAGCTATATTTATAAGGAACATAACTGTATAAATATTGAGACAATGTAAATGGGCATTGGGTGGGAGCTTTGATTTGCTTGATTTGTTACATAATTTGTCTTTAAAAAGGGTTCTAGACTTCTTTTTTTGGGGGGTAATTTACAGTTCACATGAGCAAAGTAAGATGTAAAACAGTAATTTTTATGGATGTCAAATAAATTCAAACTGCTTGGATAGGTAAAATGGAATATTATGAGCAATAACACAAAAGATTTGGCTCAACTGATTTCTTCAATTTCCAACAGTTTTTCTATTACAGTATGTCAGTAATTGATGTACAAATATAAGAACCTTATATATATATATATATATGGCAGCTTTTTCCCACACTGCCTTTGAAAAGCTGTACATATAGGAGAAGCTCAACATTCACTTTTAAAATGATGGGAGAAGAGGCATGAATAATGTTGATGCCAAATTTCATTTTGTAAGCAGGATATTCTACATTAAATTGTTAGGACTTAATCACACTAGCATTTACATTTCAAAATGTGATGTAACTTAAAGAATAAAAGTGTAAATTTACTGAATATTATTGTGGAGCAGCTCTTAGCATGACTGAAATGCTTAACAATTACTTTTTACAGTGGGTGCTATAAGTAGCTCAGAGCTTTGGCTGAGTGAAACCAAGAGTGCAACATAATTAATCTTTTTAAAGTCCAGGAAATAATTTACAGTGACAGATTAACTTAAACTTTTCCTCTCACTGGGGACAGGCACTTTTTCCAGATTAACTTAAACATTTCCTGTCACTGGTACTTTTGCTTGTTACTTATGATGCTGTTTTAATAAAAAAAACCCACAAAAGTTGTAGTTTATCACAAGCAACTTGATTGTGTAAACTGAAGGTTTTTTGTTTTTATTTTAACCTTCTCACTAAAGGTAAGTCAAAATGCACATTTCACGATCTTTTGCAATTACATTCAAGACTTAATTACACTACTTTATTGTCAATGTATATGAATAAACTTGGCATTCAAATGTAGTTAATAAATCAAATGTTAATATCATGTTAGCTGACTGTCCATCATATTATGGAAAATGCTGATTAATTTTTTTAAATAAATGTTTTATGAACATATTTTCTAAAAACTAATTATATTATAGTAACAATGTATGTAGAAAGAATGTTTATCCTTTTTTTTTAGTATTTCATGAAAACAACATTTTTTGTTTATATTTGATCATCTCATATAAGTGGTCCTTGATTAGAATTTTGAGTTATTTATATTTTTATTTTATGTTCAAATCTTCTTCTTGATAAAGCCTTATAGATTGAGCCATGCGAAAAAATGGTTCTTGAAGAAATATTCCTACATGGTCAAATGTCCGAACCTGTGGTATATTAATTGTGATGGCAAAGGCAATGAATTTTATGGTGAAGGGCAAATGCACGAAGGTATAAATTTTCTTAAAAAATGCTTATAAATTTTTGACTAACTTTTTATAAATCTCTTATGTAAGGTGACAAAGATCGATAATAATGTATTGTAGTGCCATTATTGGATTGAAAAGATTTTTTTCGACACATACTATTAATGGTATTTATTATATAATGTGATATTATCCCTGATTTAATGTATAATTATTCAAATATTCCAAAATCTTCTTGTAAATATTGTAATACTTATATAAAAATATATAATAATAATAAAAAAATCAGATATGTTACTTTACCTCTGTTAACATAAATAACTATTCCCATTTAGTACTGCCCTCTATATGAAAAACTTTTTTCACATGCTACAAGCCTTGAGCTCCCACGTGCTTTACAATCAAATGGTTCAACTGCATCTCTCATGCAAATCGCCATATCAATAGAAGTGCAACATACACTCTTGATGCATGTGACTCCCTCTATTCACTTCTTGTTTGGCAGTGATCATGTTGTGACATTTAGTTTTTGCTATCTTCAAGTGTTTTTTTTTCCATATCTTAGTATCAATTTCTCTCAACAAGTATACTATTTGTTATACAATAGTGATATTTGTAACTTGATGAGTTAACCCAAAGTGGAATTATTTTATCTTTCTACCCAGTTATGGAACTTGTTACTTCATTACAAAAACTTTTTCTATATTTCTGCCCACACAGTTGTGTTTGGTTATTCATTTTGAATTCTGAATTACCACTTTAGAGGTTATATGTTCTGTCAGCACATTTACACAGGCATCAGGTGGTGGTATTCCACTGGGGAATTATCAGCTTTACTTTGTTGGGACATTGATCATCCAATGAGCTGACCTATATCGGGTCTCAACTTGAGTTTGGGGACCCACATATTTTGAAATACAGTCTACAAACTTTGGAAAGATAAGACATTATACTGTTATGATTTTTAAATATTTTTATTGTTAAAATTACTATTTACTAGCGTAAGTACCTGGCTTTGCTGAGGTTATTAGGTTGATATATTCTAGATGACTATGTCAGTGTGTGTATTCTGAACCTATTTTTGCATAAAAGAACAGTCCAAATATTTTAAACTTATTTTTGTTTCCCAGAAACACAAAAAAAATCATAAAGGTACAATGATGATAAAATTATTAAAGATGCCACTATACTTCACATTATCCAACCTATATAAAAGCCAGTGTGTGCTGTGTCACATCACACTTGATTTCTCAAAATAAGAGGAGTTTAAAAGCCAAAATGCATTTATCCAGATAGAATAGTTCGTTTAATGTCTGCCCATTATGATTTTAGTAACAGTGTGCAAGGGGGGCTGCGAAACCTTGTAAGTGTATTGAATGTTGGTAGGATTTAAAAACATTAATAGATATGCCTAAATTAAAGACAGTGTGATATAACCTAGCCTAGAGCGACGTGCATAAAATTTATCCTGCAAGTAAAATATCGATCCAGTTTTTAGCTTAAATTGTTTCTGAATTTAATCAACGGAGACTCTACATTAAGAAATCAACAAATATTTTTTTCCAATGTTATAGTTTATACATTTCATTTTATATTTTCAGTAAATAGACTAACAACAACATTAGGTTATACTTTGTTGTTAAGCAACATGACATAAAAGCCATTTTTAAAATGCCTTGTTACCAAAATGCACTGGCTTTTCTATATGTATTTTTGCTAGTTTGCCTTATTAACCCTCTTCATTTGGGTCACGG